CAGAAATACGCTTATAGCCGAAAATGAATTTATATCTCAACATTTCTGTTAAACAGTATTTATCTTGATAGTGCATAATTGTTAGAAAAAACATAAACTTACTGAGGAGTAGGACAGCTTTATTCATTGTCTTATTTTATCATTCGTTTGTTTTATTTTAGTTTGGTCATTTACATATTGTTTTGTATTATTCTGACAATACTTCAATTCCATTAGATTTTATTTCTCGTAATCACTATAGTCTTGATGTATTTCTTAGTAGTGATCCCACTCAATTACGTCCAATATTACGTCTCGAACAATCGCTTGATTCTAATTGGCAACATTTACGCATACGATCATTAGACATTGGACATACTTATTTATTAGGTAAAATTAAATTTGGTAATGAACAATGTACAGATACAAATGCTCTTGTACAACGAGATTTATCATGTGAAATTATTGTCTCATCAATGAATAGTAAATATAGACAAAAAGATGATCCATCATTCATTGGTTTAAAACAAAGAACACAAATACAAGCTAAAACACAATATCAACATAATGATTATGTTTTAATGAAAGAGAAAAATAATAAAAATCAACAACATACACAACGATTGGTGTTTGGTATGGCACCTATACAATTTTCGTTATATATTTTATTTGGAACAATTGTATTATTATTAGCTGGTTTTACATTTCATTGTTTTATCTATGTTAGACATAAACAAAGACGACATAGAAATATTAATGGAGTACAATCTCGCGCTCATAGTGGCGCTGAAGATGTTAATAATGATTGGATATTTTTAGATAAAAATTCATTAGAATTACCGGAAAAACATCATCAATTAACGTCAAATTCTCGTTTATCAACATCACGTGAAATGAATCTAATCAATAATCCACTTGAAAATGAAATACCAATCTATCCATCATTAAAAACGGCTACAAATTCAAATTCACAAACATCATCCATTAAAAATAATAATAATAATAATAATGAAGAAGATGATAATGATGATGATGATGATGACTGTCATGAATTCTATAGACGACGGAAGAATATAAATAAAATCAAAAATTGTTATGATCGACCCTCATCACTTCTATCATCATTGTTAACCCATACCATGACATATGAAGAAATGATTAATTATTTTGATAATTTGAAAGAATCTCATGCATAATCTCATATATTTTGTATGCCTAGGCTAGTTTTTTTCTTCTTCATCTAATTGATAAATAGTAGATATGCAATAAAAGACAGGTTTTTTTTGTGTCAAAGTGTGAAAGTAGTAGCGATGTGCCTCCATCATCAAAATTTTCTGTTTTGTTTCGTTGATCGATTTGATCAACAATTATCGCTCTCTTTTAGTTTTCATAGTCCGGTGCCTATAGATTATAGGTTTTTCTTTTCTCGTTTGTTTTTTACCTAAAATTTGACGTAAAAAAACTATCTTTTGTCGTTTGTTTTCCTAATAAGATGATCAACAGTATCTCATTGTTAGATGTACATATTAATTAGTCATTTATTTATCTAGTCGAACAAATTTAGTAAATTACGCAATATAATACATTCGTTTACTGTTTATTGCTCTTTTCTAACATTTTGTTTCTGTGAGTAGTTACATCACAGTGAATTGTTTATTGAACAGTTTTTTTTCTTATTTTATCTAAAATTTACTGAGATAATTAGTCTTCTAAAACTGTTCTCTATCTATCTGTTTGACATTTTTTTAATGTCAAAAGTGTATTTTCTTTTCTAAGATATTAAACGTCTATACTTGATGATTTTTGGCTGATATTTTTTTTTCTTTAGTCACAATAATGACACGATTTTGTGGAAAATAGAATAGATAATCATTTCTTTTTCTCTCAATTAAAATAATAATGATTAATATGAACTATAAACTTTATGTATTTAAATGACAATTTGAATGTTGTTTTCATAGATGTAGTTTTTTGTTTTTCTATTATTTTTTTCTGTTGAACATATTGTAAAACTATTTGTCGTAATCAAATAGAATAAAATTTAATATATGATATTGAAATATTAAACTATAAATCTGGTGAAAGAAGTGTAAAGTATACTTGGGTAAGTTTTTATGCTATTAAATCCATCCGTCCTATCTACTGACAACGAGATATACAACGTGGTGGTTAAATATTATTTCATATAGGAAATTTTTTTAGAAGAACTTTAAAAATCATTATATCCTTCTGTTATTGACCTTGGACAATGAAATGTTCGCGTTTTGTTCACCGTAGTCAGTTAAATTGAATTAGTTAGACATATAATTAGTAGACCTTACTGCTGTTTTACAGAAAAAAAAAGAAGAAAAATTTCAATTGTTCACCAATTTCTTCTTTTTTTTTTTGTTCTATAATAATATTTAGTGATATGTTTATTTCTTTCTTTTTGTGTTCTCCTTTCACAAAAAATCCATCATAGTTACGTGATAATGAAAAGAGAAAAGTTACCTTAACAGTTTCCATGCATATCTGCACATGTATAGGTAAAACGATTTTCTTTCTTCTCGTTTAAAAATTCTCATATACAAATAATTTAGTTAAAATTTGTTACTATTTTAATTAAAAAAAGAAAAAAAAAATGAATCATCCTCGTATATTTTGTGTTAAATTACAACTTCATTTTGGTGGTGATGTTCATGAAATCAATGTACCAGCTTATAATGGAGCAGAACCGACTGTACTTGATTTAATGAATGTTATTGAACGTGATTTTCGTGTTCCAAAAGCGTTGCAAACAATTGTATTTACTGGACAAGATTTACATCAATATCCAAATGAACCATTAAGTCGTTTTGGTATTAAAAATTTGGCAACAATTCGATTAGTTGGACGAATGGCACCACCGAATATGATTAATCAAATTAATGCTGAATTAGGTATGAATAATGGACGAAGTGGTGATTCTTATTATCAACAATCATCATATGGATCAAATGGTTATCAACAACAACCACAATCGCAAATATTTTCATCCAATAATGGTAGTAGTGGTTGCGGATTATGTTATGGGAATGAACCATCCTCTATTCAATATTATAATCAAGAACAACCTTATTATCAAGAACATCAACAATTAAAACAAGATTCAACAAATGAAAAGCCACTAACACCTAAAACACCCAAGCCATCGACACCAGCTCAAGGAGGACCATCAATGATGACACAATCAACACAATATGATCCACCAACAGAAGATGAACAACAACAACAACAACAACCACAAAAACAAACTGAATAAAAAATAAAAATGTTTCATGTTATTGCAACATAGTTCTTGTTTTATCCAGAGAAAAGTTGTACTATCAATGTTTTAAGAAAACAGGTTATTTACTCGATATATCAAGAATCACAAATTTTTTTCTTGTAAAAAACATAATCTCATGTTCTTCTCCTTTGTACTCTGAATAAAATATATAAGTTTAGTAAAAAGAAAAATTTTCATTAATAAATGTTACAAGGCTATCAGTGGTATTATAAATCCAAAAGTCTACCGTTGAATAATGTCATTGGTCATCACTCAAAAATAGATTTCCCCATGTTTAATATTCAAAATTCATTAGGCACAATGACAAGTGAACCGCTATAAGAAGATGCTGAAGTCAATGGCTGACTAATTCTATACGGAAGCAAACAGATAAGTCTTTTTTCTTATGAATATAAAAATTTGTTCTTTTCTGTTTAATACAATTACCCTTTTTACTCATAATCTTTGAGGATTAGTTGTTATATTTTTTAACAAAAAATAAAAATAAAACGACACTATTAATATGTAAAATCAAAAACATGAGGTTTGTTCGAGACAACGATCCATATAATATAAGACAAGAACCTTCTTATATACAACAACGACCTCGTCGATCAAGACGTTTTCTATTCATTGGTATTGCATTGTGTGTCGCATGTCTGGCTGTTATTGGGGCTATTGTTCTTGGTGTCATTCTTGTATATGGAATACGGTTTCGATATCGTAATCCATCACAATATTTACCATCAATCACGTGTGATGTTTCTCATGCAACATGCGGCTGTCCTGGACGACCTTTGACACAAAAAAATAGTTCATCAAGAATTGTTGGTGGTCAAGATGCTGTGGAAAATAGTTGGCCATGGGTAGTAGCTTTGACAACAGCCGAGGATGTATTAAATCTAAAAACCAGTTTGAATCCATTTTGTGCAGGTTTTATCATATCAGATGACATTATCATTACAGCTGCTCACTGTCTTAAGAATGTCAATTCTCAGCGTCTTAGAATATTGACTGGTGTACATGATTTACGTTCATTTGTTCCTAATTCAAAAAATACGTACGAAGTTTATTCTATTATTTCACATGAAGACTATCGTGTCACACCTGAAAATATTCAACTAAATGATATTGCACTTATTAAACTTCGACAAAAATTAAGTGGTATTAATAATCGTCTATGTTTACCGTCAACTTCATCTACTTTTCCAAAATCAAAAATAATTGCTGTTGTTGTTGGTTGGGGTAAACTTCAAGCGAGTAGTTCGCGTAATTCTCCTACACTTCAACAATTAGTACTACCAATTGTCAGTGATAACAATGCGAAATGTAAACAACATGTAGCCAATTCTAATATACAATTTTGTGCCGGTCATGAAACGTTACATGTTGATTCATGTGCCGGAGATTCTGGTTCACCGTTAATGATTGTTGAAAATAATCGATATGTTGCAGCTGGACTTGTTAGCTATGGAAATAAACAATGTGATTCATCAGAATCACCCGGCATTTATACAAGAATTAGCTTTTATTCACAATGGATTAATCAGACAATAAAACGATTTTAGGGAGTAGTTGAAAAAGTTAAAGAAATAGAACCGGAGAAAGTTCATGATTAATAATGGTATTTCTGGGAGATGACGATGTTACGAATTGGCTCATATATAGGACTAACGTAATTCAGCTCTGTTTTTCCTCTGATATGTTTCATCTAAGGTTGAATAGTAAAAAATTTCTTTTCATTAAAGAGTAATAAAACACATCGTGGGTAAAATAATATCTTTTTATATACGACATAGAATTGCTAAGAGGGAAGAAAAGAGTTCATTTTAGGCTATCCTCTTGATTCGTCTCTAATTGACTTTGCAAATCAAACAACATCAAAGATGGAAAGATGGCATCAAACGTGAGTGACTATTAGGAACGAATCAAGAGTAAACCCGTTTTAGTCGTGCAATTATCAGAAGAACATTTTTCTTACATTAGCAAAAACAAAAGACACGTACAGTATGATCTCATGTTTGACATCTGAAGAGGATATAAAGTGTCAAAAGTAGTCAGTCATAAAACGATTATTCCCAAAATCTTGACATTATTGCCCAAAATTGATCACTAAAAAGGGCTCAAAAATTTCATAAACAAAAGAATGTTCTATTGCTTTCCAAATTAATAGCTTTTCAAAAGCAGATGGCAAACGATGACTCTTACATCCCTATTAGGATGTGGAACTTCAACACAACTAGAAATTTAAGCGTTACTAGTGCACTTTGTCAACATCAATGTATATAAAGTTTCTCAATATTACAAAAAATTAATTTTTCCTTTAAACCATAGCTATTCGATTAAAATACAAAATTTGTTTGAGACTTTAGAAACTCAAACTTGCTGAGAAATGCTTTAAATACAGATAGGTAAAGGTATTTTAGTCAAAAGCAGTGTTTTTCAATTTTACGGCAATCATGACAGAAATTTTCAATTTTTTAAAAGCTACCTGTTTTGATTAAATTTTAAATAGAGTAAAAATAAAAGCTTTCACCAACTATAGCAGATACCTCAATTCTTTAACAATTTCTCACCGGATATAGATAAATTCTTTACGTGTTTGGTTCAAAAATTTTATGTAAGTTAGCCAAGTCAGCCAAACTTTCATAATAAAATCCAACGCGCTATTAAGAGAACATTTGTCAGTCAAACAAATATCAGCTTTGTGCACAACTCCATCAACCGAAACATTTCACTATCATTTATAAATATTAAATTATTTATGAAAAGTTTTCCTGAAACCATTTTTACGGCCATGTGTTCTTCCTTGAAAAGGTTTGATTCAGTAGAGCAATACTCTGAACGTAATAGCACCAGAGGCGGCGGAACCACTAGGCTGGGTAAGGCTTAAGCCTTAACCGGATTTGGCTCTGTTAGGCTGAGCCTTATTCCATTTTGATGTAGAATTTTGAATTTAGCACTATGCTATTAGATAATACTTGGCTACGTTAACAGAAAGGCCTCATTTATCGGAATAAAAGACCAAAAGTCGTTTGGCTGCGCGTATTAAACTCTGCTTTTTTCAGTGATCTTAAACGCCGAGACTAACATGAGATATGTGCAGTGAGGACAGGGGACTAAATCAGGATAAAATGTTAACTTTTGGCATCAGAAACGCCAAGAAACCTCTAAATATATAGTCTTTTGTTCAAAATGGCGTAGTGATTCTTTAATCATATAGATATGCCACGTTTTTCAAACAAATTTACTTTGATTAGTCTAGCGCAAGCTTTATCCGTTTTTTGGCCTTTTTGCTAGGAACGTCACTTTTGTTGGAGTCTGAGTAAAAACAGCTTGGATTCATGGGGCTCGAGCTTGCATTTTATCTTGACGAATTGAAATCAAAAAAGTATTTCCTTGTTTGTTCTTGTTACGAAAACTTTTATTACGGAAAACTGCACTTTCTCGAAAAACTTTCTAAATTTGCTGCTTTTCTTATCGCGAGTCTTACCCCATTTGGGAACGTTTCGCCGCCTCTGAACAGCACAACTACTCCAGACTATAGATCAATTATATTTGTCAAAAGAAACTAATGTTTCACAGAGAAAACATATTTTCGAAAAACTTGATCTTAAGAAAGCTCAGGAAAATGTTTCAGAGTTGATAAGAAAAGATGAGTTTTGCCATTGATCTCTAGAAAAAAATAACCTGATTCTGTTAAAGTCGGCTCTTAATACTTGAACAGCTTATCATTATCGTATGATAAGCTTTCTCAAAATTTCAACGATTCTATGGAATTGTTAATTCTGTACTTTTTCACATTACATATATATTTATCAATTTCATTAAGTCTAACTAAAAGTTTTAAAATAAATAAACATAGATAGTTAGCATAATAGTCTACCACTTATTGTTATAAAGGAATAAATGATAGTGGTACGCCTATTAATTATATGGTAGAAAATATCCTGAGAACTTTTTTTTCTCTGTTTGTCTATTGGTTAGTTTGAAAAGATAGAAATTTTCTTCTTCGTTTCGATATTATTACGAAAGTGACGAAGAAAAAAATCATAATGCACAAGTCGAGTGCTAAAACTATAATAACTTATTGAAACGACGTTTCACACGATGTTTTGTCAATCTACAAACGACTCACCATTACAACTACACAACTTTAGGAGTTCAGTACAGAAATTCTCTTTTAGACAAGATAGATTCAATTTAGATATTGTTTTTCTACATACAATATTTACGAATGTATATAGAAAGAAATCTATAATTGAGTGAGACTAATTGACAGAGGACATCTCATTTCTAATGTGATCTAGTCTGATAGTTAATATTATTAATAGAAGAGAAAATATAAGACAAAAAAGTAACTTTTTTCTCGTTTACAAATATAGCGTTGATTCTGCAAATTGAACTAGAATGAATGCACAAATTGATGAAGAATGAAATTTTAATTCACAAATAGAATCTCTATCTGGTAAATATTTGTCTAAGACAGGTAAATCTTACACAATACATCAGACACAATTATGGATTTTTTTAAAATTTTGATTTGATGTTTATTTTGTCAAGAACAGAACAAAAGACTAATGCTGTATATGCCTGGACAGTAAAAAGGTCCTACGGGCACTTACAAACACTACCCATGGCGTCAGAATCGCCTAACTTTGTGATTAATCGCGATTAATTGCGTCCGATTAAATCATCCGATTAATTGCGATAAATCACACAATTAATGAGCGATTTTTTTTGCTTGTTGCCGCAGAAACACAGCAAAAAAATCGCGATTAATCACAACTTTACGTCAAAATCGCAATAAATCGGCAAAAGTTAGACGGTGTTGACTTCATGAGCTACCACCAAAAAAACGAAAAGGACCACACGTTAAAAACAAAACCAGCAACAGAAATAATAATATCTCTAGATCTCCAGCCAGTTTCTTAATTTTAGTTTAAATTGGCCAAGGCTATTGGCTGAAACTACATCGTCAGGAAGACCATTCCACTCTACTGCTGTTCAAAAGAAAAATGAAAAAGCGACATGAGTTTTCGTAGCTATCTCTCAGAGAACCGCTCTAGAATGGTTCAGTCGATCCGAGTGACAATGAACCAGAGGATAAATAAAATTGGCATTTCAAAGACAAGACCCATTTATAAGAAGTTTATAGAAATGTAAAATTTTCTACGCTTAGTTAGATCAGGAAGGTTTAGTTTGGTATCAGTTCACTACTGGATCCGTCAAACTTTTACAAATTAAACGAGCGGCTAATTTGATAATTTTATCTAGATTTTCTGTGTAATAAACACTATCATAAACAATAGAACCGTAATCTAACTAAATACCAAAGATGCATGACTGATATATGGATAATCGAACGGAAGAAGGAGCTTTCTTAAATAAGTTATGCATAGTTCGCAGACGATGGCGACTTGCGAGTATTAGATCGGAAGCATGTTCATTCCAGGTTAAATTTGAAGATAGACGCACACTAAGTAGAATAATCGAAGTTTCTCTGACTACGATTTGATTGTTAATGGTAAAAGAAATATTATCTGCGACTGACTGATCTCGATTTGAAAAATCGATATTTAATCGATATTATTTTTACGTTGAATGTTTAATCATTCTCATACCCCAGATAATGGATGCAGTGGCGTGGCTAGAGAAAGAAGTAGGAGTGGTGTAAATTTATCTGAGAGAAAATCATAGAACACAACATCATCTATCATCATAATTTCAACACAACTAAATAATAATGATAATGCTGATACCAATTTGAGCTTTTTTTCTCATTAAAGAAAAGTGAGAGAAAACTTTTACTCTTAACTATTTCAGGAGACAAATTGGAAAAAAGCATGTTTTTGTTAAATTTTGGTTAGATTGATTAACAGATCTGGGCAAGAGCTCAGACAAAATTCTTGGGAGAAGAGAGATTGTTAAAGAGAAACTTTTTTTCAAAAGCAGGGAAGCGTACACCCCTCCTTTGGCCACCGCACTGAATGGATGTATATCTTTGTACAGTAGAAGTCAAATTAATATCAGTATTATCTGGTAAACCCAAGCCATATCAATCATATGTTCAAACTATTTGGACTGTTACGATAGAGATACATTTTTTATTCAAGTTTATTCTAATTTTACATGTAGTTGTCACAATTGTAATAGAAGATATGACAAGTTAAAAATATTATAGAAAATGAAAATATGCTGGCAAATATCTTGGTACATACTCACAGACTGCTCTGACAAATATATGAAAGGCAAAAGTAATGGCAATAATGTCAAACTCTGTTAGATCGTATTGTCGACTTCTAAACCAATCAAACTTTTTTCGTTGGAAAGAGCAAAGTCTGAACTACAAGTTTTGTACCAGATATATTTTTCCAATCCATATTTTTCAATCAAAAACGTTTTAAAGATGAATTTTTTTGTAAAATCGAGTCTTTTGCAAAACTATCACTTTGCAAGAAAATCAGTCATCATCTTCAGAAATCATGCATGAACTCAATTCTTTTTGCATTATTTGTTAGAAATATGTCCGTTTTTGATTAAAGAATCAAGAACGGATCTAAAAGTT